ACTGGATCTGCTTAAATGGTATAAATCAGTCTAAATAGTAAAATATCCCTGCTTGGTCTTGAGCAAAGCCCAGCACATCAGCACACATGGTTTGCATTTTCTGTTCTCTTACTAAATTTTAAACTGCGGGGAAACCAGTATTAAACGTTTTTGCTGGGTTTAAACCCCGTCAAACAACTGGTACTTGAGAATGCATCAGATTTAATTCCTTTCCTACCCTGCTTTAGCGATTGCTGGGAATCTGCCTTTGATGAAACGTCTTATTCTTCGCAAAGCAGATCAGAGAGTTTAACTTAAAGGTGGATAGGACTTTTCCCCCTATTTAATAGGGAAGCGGAAAGTGTGATTGGAGAGCCAGGAACTTCTCGGCTGTGAGTGATTCCCTCTTGGCCTTGGGCTGGTCACTTCATTCTTCTTGAGCAAAATTCACTGCCATTATGCATAGGCACATGAGATACCACAGCTACATGGGCTTCGAATCCCTGCCAAGTCTGGTGCTCTGCTCTGTAAGAGGGGGATAATGAGCTTTCCTTCCACACACAGACAGCAAGGCTCCTAGGCTTTGTCTACACTACGAGTTTAGCTGAAAGAGGCAATGCAAATAAAGCACGGATTAGCATTTCTTCGCGCTTCATTTGCATAATCTCTTTCGGTCCGTTTTTGCGCAAAAATCTGCTGAAAATGCTAATCCGCGTTTCATTTGCATTGCCTCGTTCGGCAACACTCAGTGTAGCATAGCCCTAATGTCTTCCAACTCTGAAGAGTGATTTTTTTTTTCAAAATGGCCCTGTGTGATTCCACATGTTTGACTTACTGCTTGTAGGGGTACAGAGGTCTTATTCTGTCTTGAAGCCCTGCAAACCTGCCCCTGGGATGTGTGAGTTTGGCTGGGTGTTAGCCTGTCGTGCACAAGCACCTGTGATGCCAATTCAGAAGGTCAAATGATGCTTTCAGTGGGATCTGTGTGGACCTGTTGCCTTCAATGTGTAGCACAGGTGTTAACTGAGGACAGAGTTTGAAGTCATAGGCTTCTACAGGTGTAACTTAAAAAATTGTTGGAGATGTGTGAGCCACAGTAGAACCCAGCTCGCTCTCCCAGAGCTGCCGACACCTAGCACAGTACGAAAAAGTAGCGACATCACTTGTCAGCAGGTCTGGCTTGGAATCCATGCAGGGAGTAGATCTGTGTATGAGGCCGTTTTTATCATCCCTTTTCAGAGCAGAGCAGAGCAGTACCTGGCCCCTAGCTGCTAGCAATTCCTCTGTGAATGTGAAGCGTTGTTGTATGAAGCCCCATCTCATTTTTTTTTTCTGTCTGCTTCTCCAGGAGCCTCGGCTGCACTGTCGTGGAGATGCTGACTGAGAAACCCCCCTGGGCAGAATATGAAGCCATGGCAGCCATTTTCAAAATTGCCACACAGCCAACCAATCCCCAGCTCCCTTCTCACATATCGGAACATTGCCGGGACTTTCTAAAGAGAATCTTTGTGGAAGCCAGGCAGAGACCTTCAGCCGAAGAGCTGCTCAGACATCACTTTGCACAGCTCCTGTACTGAATTACCTCCTCTGCCAGCCATCCCGCAGGGCTTTCAGCGCCCCTGTCTGGCGAAACCATGCAAGTGACCATTGCGGAGCTGCCTCTTCAGAATGCTGTCTCAGCTGTCGTAGCCCTCTGGGCACGTGATGCTGAGGAACCTGGGGTCTGTTCTGTTCTGCAGGACTGATGCTCATTCCACCAATGGCTGCGCAGCACCGAGCTGCATTTTGGCCTTGTTATCTTGTGGTGAGGTTGCAGCTGGCTGCATGTTTTCTGCAGGCACAAGCAGAGGGACATAGGAAGCTTCTTGTTGAATGTAAATAGGCAACAGCAATCTGGACCAAAGTGGGAACTGGAGGAGCTATGTTCAGAGTAGAAACCTACGACAGCCGTCCAAACCCGCCCTCCACAGGGGCTTTACAGTGGGGATTGCACTCCTTTCCAGACTGCTAGGGCTGCCAGGTTTCTGCAGTACAAGAATCCAGCAAAGCCATGTGTCATTGAGCACACGCTCTATATATAATTATATATTTTTCTTCTTAAGTATTCAGCATCTGAAGGTGTTCAGAAAATATTGATTCAAAAATATGTGAATAGTATTATTTTATAGTGAAACCAGGGGTGGGGGGGGTTGCTTTGCTATCCAACTGTCAAGATAATCAGAAAGGAGGTTCCAGCAGAACATATGCTCTATAGGGCCTAGGCTAGAAGGCTCTCCCAGTGAGGTTAGGGAGTCCATACTTGATTCCCAAGGCCAAACTTATCCTAGCATCAAGACATGGTATCCTCATTGTACAACCCTAAGACTGCTAGTTCCAAACAAAACTCTTCTTTCTGCCGTACCTGTCTTTTCAAAGTGATACATTATTTTTACCAATCCCTTTAACCAAAGATGATTTCAATGCTGCCAGAGAACTTACTTCAGGGAAAGGTTACATATTTGCATTAGGCCAGACTGACACAGATATGCGGAGAAATTGCCCTTTCCTGCATAGGAATGAGTTTACTGGACACTAGTTTCCTGGGTCTTCTGGGGTGAAACCAAAGGCGATCTTTCCCTGCATGTTTCAGTGTGTGCAGAAATACTCAATTCAGGTTTCCATGATCTTTTAAAAAATATTAGAGAAGCTTTTCTAATTGAGCCATGTCAGTCAGTGAGGCAAAGGTAAAGAGCATTTGTTTTGCCTGTCTGAAAGCAACTGGAAAAATGAGTCTTGCTCTATAGTATCTAGTCATGGATACATACCAAGTTTCTGATATCTGTGCCCCTTGTGGCTTGCTAGTCTCAAAATGCTGCATTATGATTGGTACACTACTAATCTACCTGGTCTTAGTGACAGGACTGAAGGCAATAAGATCCAATTTAAAAGCACTATTGAAGCAGGTTGTCATGTTTTTATTGAACAGGCTCCTCACCTAGGAATAAATAAGACCTTGGGTTAATAAAACTGTAAAGGCGTAATCTAAAGTGGTTTCAGGGATCAGACTGAGAGGGTCCGTTCTGGTCAGTTTCATGGTCACAATTTTAAAAATGGTAAATGTCATTATCTCAGCTATTTAAATCTGAAATATCAGTGTCGTATTTGTAGGAGTTCTGACCCAAACAGGAACTGAGGGGTGGTCACAATGTTATTGTAGGGGGCTTTGCGAAACTTCTGTGCTGCTGCTGATGGCAGCGCTGGAGAGTGGCAGCTGCTGGCTGGGAACCCAGCTCTGTAAGCAGAAAGACTGCCAGCAGCAGCACAGGCGTATGGGTAGCATGGTATGATATTGCCACCCAGCTCTGAAGTCAGCACAGAAGTAAGGGTGGCAATACTGAGACATGCCCCCTAAAATAACTTTGTGGCTGTCCTAGAATTCTTTTAGGTCAGGACCCCCAGTTTGAAAAACACTGGTCTTGACACAAGCAATCTGAATAGCATAGCGTAAAAGTCCGCAAGACCACATTTCACAGGGGGGAAACCAGATTTCATGATCTGTGATGTGTTTTTCATAGCTGTGAATTCAATAAGACCCTATGTATAAGCAGTGAAAGTGGGCTAGTGATTATTATCCGTTTCACTTTCAGGCTCTCAGCCTCTAACATAAGAATGCAGTATTTAGAATCATAGAATAATAGGACTGGAAGGGACCTCAAGAGGTCATCGAGTCCAGCCCCCCGCCCTCAAGGCAGGACCAAACTCCGTCTACACCATCCCTGACAGATGTCTATCCAAGGGTGGGAGCATCTTTCTGGGAATTATTTAATTCCTATGGACACACATCTGTTGATCTTACAAAAACCTAGATTTTGAGCCACATTTTTCCAGACAGCATCCCTGTTATCAACATATGGCCTCACTATGCATTGTCATCATTTGCACCAGTGAAAAGTGGAGTTAGATGCTACCACTCTGCTTTGGGAGCATTTTACACACTCTTTGCTCTGGTGTGAATGACCACATCAAGTGCAGGACAATGGAAAACTGGACTCGTTCTCAATAGAAGTAGAACTGAATAGTCCTTCCATTGCCAATGGCAGCATTATTCAAGCCCGTGGTTTATCACTTGCAGCCAGCTCTTAACTTTCAAAATATACCAAAGATTAGCACCTTTTCCTGCTTCAGAATTTAACTTGCAGGTATCCAGCAGCCACGAGAACCAGTGCAACATTTCTGTCTTGATTTGGCCCATTTTTACCTAGTTTGTTCTCACAAGGCCTGCTTCCATGGTCTTTACTCCTTATCCAGCACACCTCTCTTTGGGAGAACACAATAGGGGGCTGAGGAGATGGTGTAAATGGTTTAACGTTTCAAAGCAACTAAACCTCAGGATCTGTGGTAGCTTTTACCTCATACGTATCCGTGGAACGCTGTTCTGGAGCAGAGCAAATAGCATCCTGCACTGACGTGCCAAGTCCTTCACCCTGCCGGCACTCTGACCTTATCCAGAGCCCTGGAACTCCCTGCCAGTACTGAAATGTGCCTACTCTGTGTATACACTTGTATTCCAGTTTCTATTATTGGAGGAGTGATTGTACAGTGACAGAAGCCTTCTGTCTGAGAACATGGAAAGCCAGCTTGAACTTCTTGTATTCCAGTACCTGACCCAGTGCCGCCTGCTTGGCACAAGTACAAGCCAAAGCATTACTTGTATGTTTGGAGATGCACTTTTATGAATGTAGTTTATATCGCTCTTTTTTAGCTCTTTTTACATCATGTAAACATTGTTGCCTCATACTTTTATTTATATCGTAAAATCATATTTGGTGATTTTTATATATAGCGACTTGACTGTTACGGGGTGGGGGGGGAAATTTGACACCTTTATGAATTTAAAAAGGAAAAAGCAGCTGGTTTTGCAGAGTATTTGCTGATGGTTTATAACGAGTAGTGCCGGTCCAAATGCCGCCTTTGCTTCCTCACGGGGCCTGCCAGGCCCTCGCCCCCTTCATACAAATTGAAAATCTAAAATGCTTATTCTGTCCCAATTAAAGCAACCATGAGGCTTCTCTCTCGTTCGCACTGAGTCCTGTCTGTAGAAAGGGCCTTAAAGGGAGCAGCAGTTGCATTTGCCCACTACTACAAGATCTCTTGGCTTTGCCAGTGTTGTGTAAATGACAATAGAACCCATTTTGGGGGCTTGTCTGCCTAACATTAAGTACTGGTGACTATTCCAAATCTTATTTTACATCTTCAGCTGCTCCGGCCAGCAAGGGAGGGAAACTCAGTGCTTGTTCTGAGCTCTAGGATCCTCAGGCTAAAGGCCCTGTAGTAATGAAGAGAATTAGAAGCTCTGAGGGATTACCCGGTCGTAAACCCTTGCTCCTGGGACAGTTCAGGCCTCAACTCATTTAAGGTGAAGAATCTGCAAAATCCTCATTGGAAAGGAGATTGCCTCACCACTATGTCCCGTGCAATCCACTTAGCCTTGGAACGGATCCAGTTTAGAGGGGATTTAATTTTCATTGAGCTTGTGGGGAAACAAACACTTGGCATTTTGGTCTTGGTGTGACGATTCTGTGCATTCCAGGTTATCCACTTGCTCTCCAGCAGATCTGATTTCTCTCCCAGTCACTGTAAATCGCAGCAGTTTGGCTTCTGTTCTTGGTGGGGGGCGGGGTATTCCAAAGGGCTGCAGATCACAAAACCCATTCCCTAACTTTGCAAAACAAAGTGGGCCCTAGGGGAAATTGGTACCTACTTTGCTGATGTACATTCTTTCTGAGGTATCCGCAGGCTTGCCTAACTTGTGCTGCCTCAGGAACCATATATCCCCCTGTGTAACCGCTGTCGGGTATATGACCACAAGGTGCCCCACACCATACAGTAGCTTGGTGCTTAGTCTCTGTTGCTGCTCGGTGGGAGGGGTTTTGAGTGTCTGAATATGAACTGAAACCTGTGTACAGCACCAAGCACTCCCTGCAATTGGGAATCAAGATTCGATTTTTTTTTTTCCAGAGGCCTGCCATTGGGATTTGGGCACCAACAGCCAGAAGTCCTGTGACCATCCCAGGTGCAGCTGGGAGCTGATCATGCATACTAGGTCTGAATTTCCCCACTGGGAGGGAGACGTACCTGAGAGGCAGTTTAGGGGACTCTGGAGTCCATAACTACACATCTGGGGAGCAGGGAGATGTTACGGTCTTAACCTGGGTTGTGCAGAAGACCTTGAACCAGTAGTTTATCTGATTTATGTATTCTGACCAGGGGCTTGCAGTGCAAAGCCAGACCAATGTATCGTTTATTTACAATAAAATGATCATTTATATGAAAGCTGGCTGCTTTGATGTGAACACGCCCGGGGGACCAGTATCAGATCGGACCAGCTTCTGCTGATGAAAGTGAGAAGCTGTGGAGCTTCACGGAACTTGTCCTTTCCACCAAGAGAAGTTGTCTCTCCAGTTAGTATTCCCTTTCTCACCTCGTGTGTTGTGTGCAAGGTCTAACATGATGACGACAACCTTCAAATGACTCCCTTGCCTTGAGGGTCTCTGGTAACTGGGCGGGCAATTCCACGCACAGGGCTGTCGCCAAATCTCTCCCCTTGCAGAAGACTCTGAGCATCAGCTCTTCCTGTCGTCTGTGCAACTCTAAGGGAGACCACAGAATAGGATGGAAGTGTCTGTGCTTCTCTGGGTACTTCCAAGGCCCCCTGTCACAATGGCAACTGAATGCCCTCAGAGAACTGAAAATAGAAATGCCATTCTCCGTTTCCAGCTTGCCAGAGAACAGCTTGATTGATGTATCAGGCGTTTGGAGAGAGAGCAGAGTCAATGAAAGGCTCTGCCTTTTGCTCTGAAGGGCGGTGAACCCCATGTTCCAGCCCCCTTTAGCAGGGAGTTCCAGGATCTAAGGCTGACTCCTGCGAAAGCTCTGTGTCCCACGCTGTGTAAGAACGTTACGGCTGTTGTGGAACATGGCTATGGTAGGAGGTCATTGTGGGGAAGGGGAAGAGAGGGTCTTTTGGAGACCTGCGGTCAATCCCATGGAGGACTCAGAAGCAGCACTGGATTCAGATCGATGGTGAGACCGTGCGGAGACCTGGGGTGATGTGCTTTTGGCAAAGTGGTGTGTTTGGCTGTGGAGCTCTTGGGGGAAGTAACCTGGAGAAGTCCATGAAAACCTCTATGGCAGTTCTCACCTACAAAGGGCAGTCAGATGCTGCCAGCTGCACCCCTGACGGAAATAACCAGAGACAATGGCAGTCAACATTATTTTCCCTTGAGTGTTGCCAGCTGGTCCTTCCTGAAAATAAACCAATCCAAGAACCAGTCTGTTGTGTATGGGGCATGTCATGGAAATGGACACATTGGGTTCGAAAGTGAGGAGGAATCCATCAGTCTCGTTGCTCAGAACTGTGGTGAGGCTGGGGAAGTTGCTTCGGGGATTTAGATGCCAACTCCCACTGTCCCGTGTCTCTCCAAGCCTGACTCATTTGTGGTATCCCAGGAGAAAGCACAAATCAATAGTGCTTCCCTCAATCCCCTGGGAACCACTTTCCTCAAACTCGCACTGGCTTTTTCTGGGGCCTTTTCAAATTGGTTCTGCTCTTGCCTTAGTCACTTGAACAGTGCCAGGTTCTTCCTTTGAACCTCTGGCTTCCCTGAGCCTCACGTGCCTCCAGGATACTTTTCTCAAGACTGAGAGTAGCTAGTTACTAATATTTAGGTGTTGGTTGTAGTGAAGTATGGTGGGACATGAGTAAAGGCAGGTTAACAGTCTAATGCAATATCAACCCCTAAGAGTGAAACAACTGAGGGTTTTTTTTAAAGGGTCTTACAGTCCCAAAGCATTTGCAACCCAGAGACCAGAGGCTGGCTGGAGCCACAGTTCTCATCCAATGCTAGAAATGACCTCACATCTCCTTACTCTCTTTCATAGGGAATCATAGATCACTAGAACTGGAAGGAACTTTGAGAGGTCCTCAAGTCCAGTCCCCTGCATTCATGGCAAGACCAAGCACCACCTAAATCAGGGGTGGCCAACCCATTAAATGAGAAGAGCTGAAACAGCGGTAGAAAAAATGTGGAGAGCTGCACCAAAATTATTGAGCAAAAAAAAAAAAAACTGTCCCTTTAAAAACCTGCACCCAGAAAGCACCGGGGTCCGATTGTAGGGGCACGAGGGGTGGCTTCATAAGCTATAAGGGAGGCTTCATGAGCTGCACTTTCAGGGGTGAAGAACTGCAGGTTGGCCACCCTTGACCTAGATCATCCCTGACAGATGTTTATCCAACCTGCTCTTAAAAACCTCGGATGATGGAGATTCCACAACCTCCCTAGGCAATTTATTCCAGTGTTTAATCACCCTGACAATTATTCCTAATGTCCAACCTAAACCTCCCTTGCTGCAATTTGAGCCCTTTTATCTGGATCCTTTGATTCCTGGTCTTGCAGAATGAAGAGCCTGGCATCTCCGGGGGAGTCACTAAAATCAGGTGTCACCTTCTCTTTCCCCTTTTAGAACAATAGATACTTTCTGTCCCTCACATAACACTGACACGCTTCCCAACAAACATCCTTGCATGCTGAGTCTTCTGCCAAAGTCTAGGTGGCTCTTCCCATCGTTGTCTTATTTCTTAAATAGTTTCCCTTCTCTGGCTTGTGGTGGTGGTGGAGATAGAGGAAAATAACGGGGGTGACTAAGCACAGTGCTGATAGATTTAGTGACTTCTCACCCTTCATGAGAAACAAAGGGTAAAATGCCAAGAGTAACAGGGACGTATGCCGGTGGGGTGGCGCTGAGATGGCTGTTTCCCTTTGAAAGGAGCAGTGCTTTTTTTGTGATGGTACTGCCCAGAGCTTACCTGGAAAGAATGGCAGGTACTGGTACCTCTGTATGGAAATGTCCGATGGTCAGCTGGACTGTGTGTCTTAAAGGGGCTGTGTCTCTGAAAAGGGCAATGCCGGACTTTTTTTTTTCTCTCAACTTTTCCCCTGAAATACCAACACCTTTCTTTGGGGGGTGGGGGGGAAGTACTGGAAAGGAGCATTTGATTGCGGAGATGAAGGCAGACATTATAAATCTTTGTTATATGCGCCCTTAATGGTTGTTCCTAGTTGGACAATAACTCCTGAATTTGTGGGGCCCTTGTTTTCTGGCGTGTGTGGTGTGTATTGTTACGTCAAGGCTTTCGTCTCATGTACTGTCCTCTCCCGTGTTGCTGTGATCATCGCCAGGTGCCTGCCCGTTGTTGTGACTCAGCCTTGACGGTGTAAACATGTGGTGGAGGCTCACTGTGTTTTCCCTCTGACCCCTACGTGGCTGCGAACTGGAGCACGTCCATGTTTCTCTCCAGAGAGTCTCTCACGTTTAGCTCCACCTCAGGTCTGTCCGAGTCCCTCAGCCGGGAAAAAGCACAGGCCTGGAGAGGGGGAGGGCTAAGCGTGAGGCTTGTACTGAGTTGCGACATAAAGACCTCGTACCTCAAATAAGCTGCCATGGAATGAGGTCTGGGGGGGCACCAAAGGGCCCTGCTGTTCCTCAGTTGGAGGGGAGTTGCCCGGCGCCTCGTGCCGCATGGCCGTGCCCTGCCCACACAGAACAGGGTGGGCAGCTCCACAGCGGGGACATGGCTAAGAGGGTTGCGTTTTCCGCTGCGGTTAAGAACAAGGTCTAGGGCTCTGTTGGATGAGGGAGGAGCTGGCTCTGTTCTTACCCCCGCTCTTGCTGGGTTTTTTGCTCAACTTCCCGACCCTCCCCCCTTCTCCAGAAAAATCTAAAGTGACTAGGGCAGCGTTTCCCAAACTATGGGCAGTGGCCTGGTACCAGGCCGTGGGAAAAAGATACCGGGCCTCAGCATGGCTGCTGGGAGGAGAGCAGAGCGGGGCGGGCTGGGAGGAGGCGGGGAGGAACCGGCTGCCGGGAAGCAGTGCTGGGGGCAGAGGGGCTGTCCTGGTGGAGATCTGGGCGGGTGGACAAAGCAGGGCTGGGGGCAGGGGCGGCAGGAGCAGGGC